CAGAATCTACCCGTGGAGACAGAACACCACCTGCAGTGCGTAAATATGAAGCTAAAATACAGAAGTATTCCAGCAAGTTCTTGAATCGACCTTTTTTTGCTGTAGTCATGTGATGATTGACTGACAGCAAAAAGTGTTTTAATTGATAACATGCTTTTTCCTCTTATTTTAAGGAGTCGACTGCCCAACCAACAGTCATTATGAGCTGTGTGGAACAGACTGTGGCCACACTTGTGCCAGCAGCACAGATGCCACCTGTGAGCATGTTTGCTCAGAGGGATGTTTCTGTGATGACGGCTTTGTCAGGAGTGGGGCCAGCTGTGTTCCTGTGGAGAGCTGTGGCTGCCAATATGATGGCTTCTACTATAATGTAAGTCACAATTACGCCATTCAAAGTTATCTGGTTAAATTATTTTATGAAAGAGTAAAGAGGACAGAATTGCAGGATTTAACATTTTCTCTTGCTTTATGGTACTAATACATTGGTGTTTTATCACAGACTTAGTAGACTTTAGTAGATACTGACACTTTGCCTTCATATAATCTTTACTTACCTTGTTACATAACAGTTGTGTGGCTACTATGAATGTATTAGTTTAAATAAAGAGGATAAACTTGTCAAACGTGTTACCTTCTTTTGCTCCTAGTTTTAAATTTCTTTGAATTAGTCACCTAAGCTCTAACACCCTGTAACTCACGGAGTAATTGATAGCTTGACAACAGAAATCTGGTTCCAAACAATAGAGCTATCAGTTTACGTTAAATTCCCAGTAGATTACAGGCAAAGGAAATTCGTAACTTTGAAAAGCACAAAGATAGCTACTCATTAGGCACAACTTTTACTGGCACTCTGCAGGCTGGTGAGACTTTCTGGACAGACGGATGCGTGCAGCTGTGTGAATGTCATGCCCCACATGACCTGCGCTGTTTACCTGCGTCGTGCACTCCTGCACAAGAGTGCACCATCAGGAACGGCCAGCTGGGCTGCTATGATGCTATGTCAACTTGCACTGTGTGGGGTGATCCACACTACATCACCTTTGATGGAGCGCTGGGCCATTTCCAGGGCACATGCTCTTACGTCATCACTGAGAGCGTCGGTCACAGTATCAATGAAACCCAGTTTAAGGTGGTAGCCACTAACAATCACCGTGGCAACAACCTTGTGTCATTTGTGTCGGAGGTGGATGTGTACCTCTCAAAAGAAACAGAGAGTGTGCATGTCAAGATTGGACCCAACAGAAGAGTAAAGGTAACCTCTTGCTTATTTCAAAGAGGAAGAACTTTCTACCTCCAGCCTGGCTTCCTTTCAAACTCTCTGATCTCTTCTCTTTATAGGTAGAAGGAACTGAGGTGTCTATTCCCACCACAGTGGGAACCTTAGCTCAAGTGGTCAGGCAGGGAAGTTACATCGTGTTCGATGCTGCTGACTTCGTTGTCCAGTTCGATGGCCGGAGCACTCTGCTGGTCAGAATGGGCAGACACTGTCAGGACCGGGTTGCAGGGATGTGTGGGAACTTTAACGGTGATCCCTCAGATGATAAAGCGCTGCCCAATGGCACACGGGCAGAAAATGACAACGAATTCGGACACAGCTGGAAGTCGCCCACAAGCCGACCGGGGTGAGTGTGGTCAGTGAGTCTGCGCCTCGCAGAGACATGCTGTGTGCAGTGCCGGAGACCAGAAGGCCCTGAAGCTTAGACTTTTTGAATGCTTTTCCAGATGTGGATCCACTGATGAGCGGAGCGGCGGTGGCCTCAGTGACTGTCGCTTCAGAGAGGAATACTCTGAACTCTGCAGTATCATCACCAACAGCAGCGGCCCATTCAGGGACTGCCACCTGCATTCTGACCCCCGGCCATTTTTCGCCTCCTGCCTTTATGATCTCTGCCTTTACACTCCAGCCAATGGAATGCTGTGCTCTGCCATCTCAGCCTATGAGAGAACCTGCTCTGTTTTGGGGTTAAACATCCCTGAATGGCAGTCTGCTTTGCATTGTGGTACGACAACAAGTCTGCTAATATTTGGTAGAGATGATTTGATTTAGGCTTAATCCCCTCTTTTACTAATGTTGTGATGTTTTTTTAGATGACACAGACCCATGTGATCAGCTGGAATGCACAGAGTACGAGTGGTGCGGTCAGAAAGATGGAGTGTACGGATGCTTCTGTGACGAGCACCATCACCGACGCAACAACGAGAGCTATGGTAAAGCCTCTTTAAACTCTACTTTGTTTTTTAGATTGACTGAGCATTATTAAATCCACTCTTTAAAACCCTATACTAATTGATTTATTTGGTCTTCAACCTCCAAAAAATAACTTTATTCGGGTGCAACAGACTCCCTCATCAGCTGCGACAGTAGTTCAGGCAGCATGTCGGTGTCTCGCTGCCAGCTGTTCGAAGCAGGCTTCCACTCCGGCGCTCTTCATCTCAGGGATGAGAATTGTAACGGGACAGTCGAGGACGGACGTCTGCTGTTCCACTTTGACAATAATGACCAGCTCTGCGGGACAGTTCTCAGGGTATGATTTATGGACCAGAATTTTGTCGGCACAGACTAAAAACACTGTTCTTAACTTCTACTTCTAACTTCCACCATTTCATCATCTCGATATTTAGAGCAACGGAACCCATTTCATGTACGAAAACACCATCCAGGGCGACGTAGATCCTCATGGAGGTCTAATCAGCCGTCAGAGGAACATCCATCTGCGTTTCTGTTGTGAATACCCTCTGAATCAGGCTCTGTCGATGGCTGTTGGCATCAACCCTGTGGAGAGGTGCAACTGTCTTTTCTGCGTGTATTATTTTTTTTACCGTCTTTAATAAACTAACCATCCCCAGTAATCAGAAAAACTTGTGAATAAATAGTGAATTATTCACAGCTGGTTTTGAACATTGAAAATTTGTTCAATTTTCAATAACAGGCAGAGAAAGAAACACTAACTGTGAGATTTTGGGCAGCAATCCTCAGGAGTAGTCACACTATGTCTTTATTATTTTTTTTATAGCGTTGTCAGTAAGAAGCTTCCAGCTGGCCGTGGCCTGTATCACATGAGGATGATTCCCTACCAGGACGCGGGCTTCCGTTTCCCCCTCACCAGTGACACAAACATAGAGATGGATGTGGATGAGCCGCTTTACGTGGAGGTGCGGACAGAAGGGGTGGATCAGCGCCAGATCTCCACAGTTGTAGACTCATGCTGGGCCACTCCCGTCAACATGGCAAACTACCCTGTCCGCTGGGATCTCATTACTGCCGAGTAATAACCCGATTTCTCCTCATTGCCTTCATGCATCCTTCTTTACATCCGGACAACTTTAAAATTCTGACACTCTCTTTTTCTGCATATGTCCTCTTTTATAGATGTCCGAACCCAGAGGATGGAACGGTTGAGCTGATGCAGAATGGCGTCTCCACCGTGGCCCGTTTCTCCTTCAGGATGTTCACCTTCACCAACTTTACATCCATTTATGTGCACTGCAACGTTCACCTGTGTCTTTTGAGAAACAACAACTGCACAGCTGTAAGTATGACTTTAAGCTCTTGGTGAGATAGCACAGATTATTAAGTGGTGGACCGGCAGAAGCCCCTAATGCTGTTCTCCTGCAGCACTGCTACCCGGGGCACCACAGCCGCTTTAGGAGGGATGTTTCCTTCCATGACAGTGCAGCCATTTCTCTGGGACCACTGGTCTTGAGCCCACGCAGTATAGGTAAATCTCTCTCATGGCTGGATCGCTTTGTGTTGCAGTTGAAATTAAACTTTACAAATATCTTCATCAATCTAAACTGATTTCTTGTTTTACAGAGACACTGATCCAGAGAAGCAGCGCCCCCGGAGTGTTAAAACCATTCATCTCCCTAATTGTCAGCTTGCTGATGGTCAAAAGTTTGATCTAGTGAGACAAAAGAATTCCAACTTTATTTGGCTTCTGTGTGGTGGGTTTTTTGTAGTCAAAAAAGGATCAAAGGTAGGTGTAATTCAACTATCATAACAACAGGGGGTACTTCCAGACAGCTTTGAAAAGGAAATCTGTTTTGAAAAATGTATCCACTTTCTGCAGTTCTTGGTTTCTTTATGGGGATTTATATTGTTAAATTTGATGTCATATCAGTATTTATGACATCAGTGTAGCAGGTTATAAATGCTCTGCAGTCTAATGCAAACATTTGATGCAAACAGACTGATTATGATTTACTCAAAATGTGATTGAATACTAACCTGACAATTTCTACATCACTGGGTAATAAATTAATAACAGGTTGTCATTTTGGATGAATTAATCGGGTAGAGGGTTTATTTAATTGAATATTTTGTATATTATTTTTATAATGTTGTTTTGTTATTGAATGTCAGTAATCTTGATCAAAGCAAGACCATCCAACTTCTGTTATTCTGCTAGTTGCTCAACACTATGTTTCACATACACAGACAAACCTGGCAGAACTCAGAAGCTCCACTCGCTCACACCTTTATTGTTTACATTTGAAGGGTCTACCTAATGTTCTTCTGTCACAAGATTTAACATGTGAATGTCTATTAAACCACCTGGTGAAGAGAATAAAAATAAATTAATGAATTAGACCAACTTGCAGTAAAATCTGAAATCTAGGACTGGATGCTATCCCTCAAACAAACTCATTGTTCTTTAAAATCCCATGTGCAAACCTATTCTTTCTCGTTTGTACACTTGTGTTAAATAAAGGTTTACTTTTTTAATGCCAACGCTGCTGAGTCCACACTTTCATACAGGTTCTGTTTAGTCTCTGTATACATGTGTGTGGAGCCCCTTGAACCATCGTTCAAGGGATGGATTTTTATGCGGTACAGAATTACACCATGACAGAGCAGTCATGTCACCATGACCACTTGTGCTGCTGAGAGCTAACATTTCCACAGCGTCTACATGCTTATAGATAACTTATTGATACATTTAAGCACTGCAACAAATATTTAAGCCATTAACATTCACTTCTGTGTAAAAAAGAATATTAAAAGATATACATGCCACAGAAAATTCTGAAAAATTGGAAATATAATTCATGAAGTTTTCTTCCCTGTTGAAGGGG